CAACTTGAAATGCTCCCAAAAATGGCACTACAGCATGTAAAAATATAATATAAGCTCTGGCGGACTTGGTTCTATGGTAGGTCTTAAAGGGTTAAACATCCCAGATCACTCTGTCACACTATGGTATGTCTGAATTATTTCCTTGTTAATTTATTTTAAATCTTATTTAACATGGAAGATTTAGAAGTTTAGCATAGTTTCCATAACATTTGACTAAACCCTTCTATAGTTTCACATTTATCATCCTTGCAGATAACCAACACTGCCTTTTTTGGTCAAAATGAGAGAAAACAGAAGGAGGGTGTTTCTGTCTGCCATTTTTATTTTAAATGACAGCCTAATGCACCTGGTCACGGTCACGTCGAACCCTGAAACAGCTGTAATCACTGAACCGCTGCAGCGCCACAGGAACAACACAACCAGGTAAAGAGTCTGTGTTTGACACAGCTTCAGACATGCAGCACTGCTCTGATCCCAGTGACAGCAGGAAAGGTGGGAACCTCACCATGTGTGCTGCTGTCTGAAGGGGACTGAGCGTCTCTAAACAACAGTTTTTAACTAAGACGCTCCGAAACAATTTACACACCTAAAACCCGTCAGCACAGTTCTGTACAGCAAAGAAATGCGGTTTCTGTTTTGTTGATAAGGTTGATGTTGTGATGCCTTTCGAATGCCTTGTCAGGCTTCATTTTAGATCTAATGTTCAGGCATTAAAGCGTGAACAAAGGGGTTAATACTCTACCCTACACACACTTAATACATATTAAGTGATGATGTATTAATCCTGCTTCAGGTTGGATGAGGCTCTTGTTTTTTTATCTTGTTTGTTTGAACTGTCATGAGCCCCCACCAAAACTAGTTAGTAGCCATTCTCAGTCGCAGATCTGTAAGTTTTTAAAACACAGCCAGAAGGCTCACGGTATCCCAGATATCAAATATTCGTAAGCCTAAGAATTCAATCCCTCTCAGGCTGATTGAAATTTGAGCTGAAAAGGCCTGGACCATTTTTACCTCTCAGCGGTGCCTCATGTTTGTTTGGCTTTAGAAAATGAAACCGCATTCAGACCCGGAAATAAAACTGGGCATACACTGTGAGAGTTTGGGCCCATTTTGAGACGATTTTCCACTCATGTGACCATTTTGGGGATCGGCCCGAGTTTCGCCTTAATCGTGTGTCGTGCATCGTGTAGTATACATGGGGTAATGAGAAGCGATTAACACCTCACAACCAGCTCCCAATCAGCAATCGTATGGTCACAAGAAAATCAAACCTGTCTGAAATCCTGGTCGCCCCTCGTGAGTAGGGTTGGGCTATATCATACCGTTCACGGTAATACCGGTGTAATGTTGGGCAACGATAGGAAAATGAAATATCGCGATAGAATA